ATGCATAGGGCGAAACAGGATGAGAGACGTCTGGGCCTATTCAGAAGGTGGTTAAGACCCCTATGATATTGCTCCAGTGCTTTTTCGAGACCCCTTCTAGCCGTGTCTTTCCAACTAAGCATTCTCAAGCTCAATTACTTATGCGGAAACCTTCGAGAACTGCAAGCAGAGCTACCCGGGCACCGGTTAGACTACGTGATCACGCCTGTATCTACAATGAATTGCTAGCGGCGGTTTAGGGTACCTCATTGTCCTGGTTGGCGCCCATATCTTAGGCGGTATAGGCATAGTTTTCATGCTAGCCAAAAAGTGTCGTGGGTCACCAAATGTGATCTGCATACATGTCTTATGTTTTCTACATGGATTCTGACTATATGAATGTTATATATGTTAGATCTCGAGACCTTCCTCGCGTCGGATTACTTAGGTCATGCCTAGACATTCTGTCAAAACGGAACAGTGCTTTAACTTCCAGCAATCCAAGAGCGCATTATATTGCTAACTGTTGGCTTTTAATCGCCCCATGTGGGTGCACAGTTTCAAGTGCATGAGAAGAGTGTGTCTTGTATGTGTGTCTGTGTGTGTGCGTGTGCCTTATGGGTGGTGTCTCTCAGTCGACGACCGTTTGGTTACCCAACCTTGAAGGGCGACGGCCCAGGATAAGTGCAGGGCCACGTGTCGCCCTTCAAGGTCTGAAAGCGTGTGCTATGTAGTTCCCTGGCACCTGCTTCCCTGCCGGTAGATGCGCTTACGATCCCGCTGGGTATACAGACGGTGGGCATGGTTGCCCAGTCATCATCCTCGTCCTTTTGATCCCCGTTGGGGTGTTGCTGTTGTGATTGGTGAAGAATCCTGGTCGAATGCACGTTGTTGATCAGGGGACGTGATGGCACGCCTAGGTGCGGGTCCGGCCGTGCCATTCCCTCGCCTACGGTCTTTTAGACTCTGTCTTGACGCCAAGTCCAGGCCGTTAGTGGGGAAGAGGGAGTGCAGTAGATTCTTCGCAAGTCTACTTTCACTATAAACTAATTAACGCGCGAGCCACCGTGCCTGCTGCACCTTGTTGTGTAGAACTCGGTGGACATAGTCGGAATCGACGATCGAACTATTGTTGTGTGTGTATGTCCCTAAAAGGGTACAGGGGGTAGATGCGCAGGGCCAACACAGGGCTAGATCGGAGTCCGATATGAGTTACTGGTAATACATGCCCAGATCCATGTTCACGCCGCGCCAATTTGCATCCTAGCCGACTCCGCCATTTCCTTGGTGTATAAAATCCTGGTCAGTGTCTCTTCTGGACCGGGGGGCGTGGTGACCCGCCTAGATGCGGGTTTGCTCAGTGCCAGTCACACACTCCCTCTCCCACCTCCGGTCTTCTTGACCTTGTCTTGACACCGGAGGGGGAAGAGGATAGGGTGCGGTAGGTGTTGCGCAAGTTCACTCTCACTATAACCTAATCCACGCATATGTCGCCGTCCCTCCGCCACCGTGCTGCAGGACACACGATGTAGCGCGTCGGACTATCGTGTGTGTCCACTGCTCGGTCCTCATTGCGACCACCGGAGGATTGAGGTTAGGGCTTCAATACCTCCTTCTATATGTGGTTTGGTTGGTGAGTTAACGAATGCTAGATCCGAATTAGCCCCGCAGGAGCTTGACACAGAATGTGGAGACAAGACCGTGTGCGACACGCGTCCTTGTCTTGTCGTTCCCCTCTTTGGCATGATCATCTTCTCCAACAATCGGCCATGAATAGTGCTCGAGCAGAAACACATGAAGTCAATCAGCGTAAGTCAGATTATTAGTTGGCGTCCAAACATGGATATAATCTGTGGGAAATAGAGTTGTGATGGCTCATCAAACACTTTTATTGATTTTGCTCTCTCTCGTTCTCTGCCAATGTCAGTCTCTAGGATCCGCGCCATGAAGTATGAGCTATGACCACCTCCACATTTGACTGAACTTGTTCCCTGTTCGAAATATCGTTCGCCTTCTCATTCTTATTGACCTGATTTCTGATTTGCACAATTACAGTTTTGATAAAGGGGTATTGTAAGCCTAATTAGAGAAGTAACTTCAGAATAAACGGTTGTCCCAGTTATTTAGTAGAAATACTGTTTTGCAGCTAGCGGATGCCATCACGACGATGCTGGTCAAAAGATCTAGATGAGCTAGATCTCAACCTCTCCCTCCCGGTTCCCGGTAGGCGAGTTCCCGCTACAAGCTTCTTATACTAATAGGTGAGGCATAGAATTGGCTTAGAATTCCAAAGACTTCGACTTCGCGCAATGACTGATCGAGATCGCAATGGAATAGGGCTAACGACGGGCTAGTATTTCACCCACCGTCATGCATAGGCATCATTACTGTCCCGGGAGACAGAGTAGTGACTTCCTAGTGTATTGGATCAGAGTAAAGTGAACTTGTACAGCATCTACCTTGCTCCCCCCTCGCGTACTCTTCGTGCTCTAAGTGTTAGACAAATTCACAACGACTGGACATGGGCGTAGATGCGATGATCGAACTGGCCTGCTGTCCACCGTCCCCCACGCCCCCCTTCTGCTTCTACGCGGACCAGTTTCCACTAAGTTCTGATCTTACAAGACGCCATAAGAACTAAAGGAATCATTGCAATCTGACCGCAGATCTGAGAGAGAACTGGATTTTCTTGTCACCTTGCTGCCTTCCAACGCGTCCTGACTGCGTTCGGTCCTATAGCTACTGTGGGTGTTGGGAGGGTTGTAGCAGCCGCTCCATTGCCTACTTATTACGCCGTTTCTCTGTCCGTCGGCCATCCCAATCCCCCTGTGATAGACTGCACAAAGTCCTTCGATGACTGGACAATAATTTTGTCATCAATCCTAACGGCGAGACTAGCACTGACAGCATTGATCGCGTCAAACCAGCCTACGTCGAAGAAGGTGAACCGACTTCATCCCAGTACTGGGCTCAGCCACAGACGGTGACGTCTCCACCCCATTCTGACGACTACTCACGCCCGATTCGCCGCAGCAAGTTCGGTCGTCATGTTCACTGACCCGACAGATTTGAGGGTGGCCAGCCAGTCTACTCCCTCACCGCCTTTGGTGTCTGGTAGGAGGCGAGAGTTTTAGCGGCCGCTCCAGTACCCCCACATCCTCGACGCCCCACAATATAATCGCACAGCTTGCGCAAAATAACCTATCACCTTAGAGATCAGTCAAGTTACCAGGCTGGCAACGGTAGGCTGTGTGCAAAGTAATAATAAACAAAGTAGGACCTACTCAAGCAAGTATAGTAGGTAGTTTTGTATTATACAACTAGCTGCAGGGGCGAAAACGACAGCATCTTTATAGAGAATCAAGATGTCAGGTATCAAGGATTCCATCATTTGAATTCTTACCAAAGCCTGATTACTTCAGTAGAATATATTAAAATTTAAAGACAATGCTTCCGCCTGTAACTAATAAATGCAGGGTAAATTTCGAAATTTCGGTGTTAATAGGAGAACTTACACCAGAAACTCGGATTTTATCATTATTCCTAAGAGCTATAGGAAGGAGGGTTGGGAATTGACAAACTAATTCAACGGTCGGAGGACGAGAACAGGTACTCCGGCAAACTACCAATTCAGGCTCTTTTGGTATCCGTGATTTAAGCGGGTACCCTTTCCTGGACAATCTGAACGGTTATCTTGTTAACTAATTATAATTTCTATACATATATGACAAATATTTCGTGTATTTTGTGATTTCGTACCACCAGGACATTCCATAAGGCGGATAGAGGTAACTTTAGAACACACAGAGTCGGAAAACTTGAGACCTACTCCACTTTCCAACTGTGTAAATTCTCTGTTTGAAAGAGTTTACTTCACAACGACCCAGCTGCGTCAATTTCATTTGTTTAAAATAGCCAGGGAGTGCTCGCCGTGTATCTTTTACCCCGCAGTTTTGCCGAAATATGCACATGGTGAGGTTATTATACTTCTGGTCTAGTAAAATGACTCAGGGGCACAGTTTGCCCTTTAATATGAGGACGCAATTAGCGCCAGGTTTTAAGAGTGGTTTCTTTCATCATGCTTAATGCAAAAGTCAGCGAATCATACTTTCACGGAATCTGACTTAATCAACAGGCTGCCGCTTAGAGATAACCAAAATGAAGCAGAGAATCAACTCGTGGTTTTGAGAATAGATTTGGCCAGGAGGACTTTACAGACAACGCATGAGAAGGTAATCTCACCTGCAGGTACCTCGAGCTGATAGGTCTGGGAGGCCACCACATGGATGGAGATGAGCAGGGCCCAGCAGAAGGTGGCGAGGATCGTAGCACGCCGTTGCATGGCTGGGCACCGCAAGTCGATTTGAGATCTGCGGCAGGGTGCCTGCGCAACAGCTTCACGCAATTGCTACTAGCTGTAGTACCGTTCTCCTCTCGATTGCCGCAACCCTGCAGAGGTCGAGGCAGGGCACTGGCATTCGAATGCAGCGCTCGTCCGGCCGCCTGCCGCGTCATTCGCCAGGGTGGGCGTGCTCCCCTTTCCCCTGCCCCAGGGCGGTTTTGGCGTTGGCAACGTGCGTGTGTTGACCCTGGTGCTCGACTTTTCGCCGGCGGGCGCTTCGAAACAACGAACTTGCGCGTCCTCCTCTGCCGCCACCCCCCTTCCTGCTACCTCCGCCGCCGCCGCCGGTCCCTTCTGGTTCCGTTGCAGTCTACACAGTGCACGCGACCGCTCCGACCTTCTGATTGGTTGCGGTGGCGGTGAGAGTGATGCTGTTGGTGTGGTTCCCCCTGACGATCACTTTGCGTCGGCGGCAGGCGTGGGGGGACGGCCCTTCATCTGAAGCGTGCGGCAGCCCTTGTTGGCCGCTTAATCAGGCGAGACTGCACCGCGGTCTGACCACTAGTATGGCGCGCTGTTGCCCTACTAATCGCAAGCACTGTTGGTGGCTCTCGGCCAATTGGCGTTTTTTGGCGCGGGTCGATGTCGTGCGGGTAGCGCGGCCCAGATTCGCGCACACACATGACACAAAAATCGCCATCTTGCGTTACAATTTTTGTCGCGGCCGTTTTATTACAAAAGATAAAAGGCGATCCTGGAGCGCCCCAAAGGCGGTAGTATTTTCGAGAAAAAACTATGACACCAACACCCAGACTTTGCGCGCAGGTGACTACCGTACGCGCGCTATTCAAAAATGCAGCCGAGAGAAAATCGATTAATCATCGACCGCATTGGTCACTGGACAGAAACGTCTTCTACTCATTCTGTAGAAAGTGTCGTCTTACTCCAATTTTATACTGGAAGGAAGGGTATCACTCGATTTTAAAAAAGTTTTCCAATTTCCAAATAATTTTGAATCCCACCTGCCTTTAGACTTGCATTCAAGGTTTCCAAACTACAAGCTATATATTTTCCACGTACTGAAGACGGTACTGTTATCTACGGTATTAGGAGGAGACCATATGGGATTCGTAAAATTTAGCAGTGGCGTTTATTCATATTGTAAGCTTTGCAAGCCACATTAGCAAATGCAGAGACGCGATGTTTTATGAGCGGTCATTTCACGGTATTTAAAAATCTTACAATTAGACACTTTTTGAAACCAAATTATGCCCTTCCTTCGGGTATACAAATGGAGAAAGACGCCATTTTCTACAGAATGAGTAGAAGAATTAATATTTTTACGCATATTTTCCATGAAATAAGATTGCATTTTTAAGGGCATCGAAAATAATGGGGAAAATGCGCGCTACCTAAGTAGTCACTTTTTACTGAGTGTGGTTTTCGCATGCGGTCGGAAAGACGTTCGTTCGAAAGTCGGCATCCTGAGGTAACTGATGTATTATAGAATTATGCTGCAAGACGATAACTTTTACAACCTTACTTAAGTAGTCTTTTCGGAACGAAAACGCATTTCGGAATTGCGGTTAAAATTTTGTGAGTTAGCCCACCTACTGTACACATGACACAAAAATCGCCACGTTGCGTTACAATTTTTGTTGCGGTTGTTCGCTGAGATAAGATAAAAGGCAATCCTGTAGAGCTCCTAGAGTGTTAGTATTTTCGAGAAGAACCATAATACCAACATCCAGACGTTGCGCGCAGGCGACTACCGCATGTGCGTTATCCAGAAATGCAGCCGGGAGAAAATCGATTAATCATCGACCGCATTGGTCACGGGACAGAAACGCCTTTAGTCTCAGCGACTGTGTTGAGACTGACTAGGTCTTATCAAAGACAGAATTTTCTCAATGGTACCAGTGCAGATATACGTGAAAACTAGTTGCATTTCATCGGAACATCTAATGGTTCGGCCAGTTCTTCCCAAATGGAGTCACTTTGCAAACTTCCTTGTCATAAATTTTCTAGTTAGACAAGAGACGAGAAACTTTCCTCTACCCACTACATCACCGTGAATGAGGGCTAACGGCTATTTTAAAAAAGTTGGAAATAAACGCTTTCTTCTGCATTTTATTACTTTTTAGTCCGGCCATCAGTATTGATTAGCTGTTGTTTTAATTTCTTCCCGCTTTTAACATGCGCGCCATCCATTTCTTACGTCCGAACAACAGGGTTGGCCTGCTGCGACCTTTCCAAACAAAGCTGAAGGCGAGACAGCGCTGCGCTATCAGAGGCTCCTGTATGCCATTTAGCAGGACTTGACTCCAAGAGTTGGACCGAAATCAAAAAAACCTGCGTGCTTATCTAGGCGTACAGATCCGTCGGCTGAAACCTTGTCAATGAATTAGCGCTTCCACTAATCAGTTAACCTCGCCCAATCAATGCCAGGCGACTTGCTGACCCACTTAAAGGCTGGCTTCGCCGTTGCTGATTGGCTAACTAATTCGCGCGCAGCTGCGGCTACCAAAACACGTGTGATTCCACGACGCGCCTGGGAAACGTACATGTGCGTTCGCGACTGAAAGCACCGTCCTTGCCAGGCCTAACTGCATGCCACACCAGGTACACCAGCGCGGTGGTCAAGGCGGTGTTAGTCATGCGTGTTTAAATATCTCGAGGTCTCTCGATTGTACAAAATGATAAGTGGTTCTTTCCACGTCCTCCTTAAAATAAGGTTGTCCAAAACATTCTTCCCATATGGATGAGTGTTTCTGATAGGGACGAGGCGGTAAATAATGATCGCGGTTGTCTTTTTTTCCGTCCTAAACTCTCTAAACCTCCAATCCCAGGCCAGGACTTACCGAAGCTCGGGATCGAGATCAGTTGGCCATCAGGGCAGGCTGATGAATGTCCTCTCCACCTGCCTATCAGAGCAGACGCAGCGTGGACCCGTGGCTCAATGACTAACGGATTCCGGAATCGGACCTCGTACCTCCCCTGCCCACGGCAAATAAGCCCAACACAGGGGAAGCAGAATATCTTTAATCTGGTCTACAACTATACTTGATTGGTGAAGGCCATCCCCACGTGAATTCGTCACTCCTTCAGTTGTTCGTGACAAGCTGTTAGACTTTCACGCAGCTCAGCTCGTCTAATTTCGAGGAGTGGTCCTCCAGACGAAAATACTTCTAGAGCGACCGAACGAGCACACCGGAGAGTTGGACAACACTCCTAGGGCACCCACCGTGAACCAACGCCCTTGCGAAACAGGCGTGCTGCCTGAAATGGAGATAAAAATGACGGGGTCGGTCGTTTGAAAGAAAACGATTACTAGTAGATACATAGTCTTGACCGATACCAAGTACCAGAAGAGAAAAGCAAGAAATAATCCTTGGGTATAAACAGCAGTTCGCCCTCCCAACTGCAAGGGAGTAGGGACTGGCGTAAACCTCGCCCTGGAGAAACTATTGCGTAAACCATCTAGCTGCATGCGACGGAGTGAAGGGAGGCAGATGGGCTGCCCTTGTCGGGGTGGTATGATCGACGACACGAAGGTTCCCAAATCAGAAGTCAGGGAAGACAGACTGGGTTGGACCAACTTTTACTGAGACTCTGCAAGCAGCTGCCGCAAACAGTCTCTCCAGGCAAGTTTTGTCGCCGGCTCTGTCAACCGTTTTTATTGTTCGTCCAGACAAGAAATATGATCGGCTGCAACCAGTCGATGAAGAGATAAATGTCGATCGGTGTCACGGCATCGCCAGTTGGAGATCGAGCCACGCGCGAATACACGGGGCTTGGCAGACGAAGGTAACATGAATCAGTGGGATACGTCCAGGCAGTACATTGACTAGTCTGCACTTTTAATCTAGTTCCCTGCCAGCGTTTGTCAGATCAAAAATTGTAGAGTACTCGGTTTCGTTCGGGAAGTTCCTAAAAGACGTACTTTGGCAAGGAGTGCATCCACAACCAGCCATGCAAATCAGCCATTATTTCCTTCTAATCGATATCTCCGCTGTTATCAGAGAGGAAGTACATTATGCACAGAAATTTGCTAATTGCCACAGACACCTAGCGTAATGAGTACTTTTACAATTTCGGTTTGGTCGGATATTATTTTGTAGCCGTACCTGCAGTACACAAGTCCCAGCCTAACCCCTAACAAATACGGCTACGAAATAGCATCTTGCCTTCAATTTTATGTCTTGAGAAATAAAAAAGCATAATACTCATCAGCAGTTCTGGCCCGTCTTACGACGAATGTTCTGCCGGGTTGGTGTAGCCCTGGCCAAAAATGTTCTGCGTATTAAAACCACCGATAGTGTCAAGTGCCTGTGGTTTGATTTAGTGCCTAGAGAAATAAACTCAGAGCATCCTGAGCTGTTTGTGAATGTCTTATGCGCACAGAAGAACCACGTTCAGGCTCCGTGTCTACAGTGGTCAAAGGTCGACTAACGCTGCAACTCTCCGCGCCCCTCCGATTTCACCCCTCCTCTGACACTGACTCCTATTAGCCCCTCCCGCCTCCCCCACATTCCCACACCCGCCGGTGTTTTAAGGAGAAGTTTTATCGATTTCTCTTATCACTGACATGCTTTACTTCTACCCCGTCCCCATATAACTGTACTGACCCGACGAGAATTTATCGAAAGTCACGTATGCTCGCCACCTTGTCATCTGAATAACAGGAGAGTTTATGGAACGTACACAGTATAGTAGAAGTAGTCTTTCGGATATTTATGACGCTCGAAACATTTTGCAGGCTATCAACTGCATGTACGCATCAGGGCTCTCTGGCATTCGCCCACTCGGTTCCCTAACTGACCAATCAAATTCAAGGCCTACTCAGAGGTGCCCTGACTTAAGACCCTTTGACGCACACCCCAACACACACTTTGGGACGTGCATTCGTCCGGCTGCCAACTCTCTCTAACCTCCTCTCCAGTTATTCTGTACAGAATACATCATCCTCCCCACTGGTGTCCATCTTCTCCTTCCATTCGGGATCGAGCCTGAAAGTCCTGGAAGCCAGGGTTTTTCTCTCAGCCTAGGCTGCTGCGATAGGTGCATCACCCCATCCCCCATTCGTTTAAGCCGTGTGTTATTGCCTGTACCTGGCGAATCGAGCTAGGGAGCGCCATCCGTCCCCATCTTCACGTCTACTTAAAACAACCCCGGGACAAGGGTATGGTTTATGGTCGGGGTTACTTAACCCGGGGAGCACGTGTGTAATGCAAAAGAGCTGGCCATCTAAGAACTTTGTGGTATCGCCAATTCTGATCCTTCATATTATTACCAGTTAAAAGATGACATTATTTTTGCTATTTACTGATAATAGTAGATGAGTTTAGTACCCCTTTGCAGACATTGTTAAAAAGGGTAAGATGTGGTTATGTAGCCCCACCTGAGAGACACAATACTGTGGTTTGGGGGTTAGGATTAGGGGGTTATGGTTAGAGTTAGAGGTTAGGACAACTACCAATAGACGCGAAGAGACGAGTCCCA